TCGCTCTCAAACCTGGGTCCCATCCATTTTCTCTGACTTCCTGAAACTAACCTCTCTATAAAGTGAATTTGAATGTGAGAGACACTATTGTTTTGAGTCAACTTAGAGATGTCTGTTACAGTTGAAGCATTCAAGATCCTTTGTGAGTGATGTTGAAAGTTTCAACTGTCTTTATTGTTAGTAACACTTGTTAAGTAAGTGAGTGTCCAGTCTGTCAGTACGAATGGCATCTCATGATGTCGTCCTTGGTGATAGCCATGAGTTTCCAATTGCTACTGAAGTTATATTATTTTTGATTCCCAAACCTCAGAGAATCTGATATTTGCAGTTTGATTATTGTCAGTTGTCTATTTAAGAAAGTCATTAATCTCCTGAAAAGAACATGTCAAACTGTCAAACTCCTTATCTCCAAGATGTCAGCGTATACCCAAAGAGGCTCCGCTGAGTTTGTGAAACTAGAGTTGTTAGCGTGTGTATTTGACGTCCATTTCACTTATTCCTGGCAAGCTCAATCTGATTAGATTATAAAAATAGACGTCAGAAATTCACCTGACCCATGGCAATGATTTTCATAGTTAAATGCACAGCAACTGAGTTGAATGTAATTTCTGTCATTGTGTGATTCGCCTTTCTGGCATGTGTAGTGCAGGCCTGAGTTGCCAGTTAGCCGTATATAAACTCGTGCACGAGGGGCAGCGTCACATCTCTGATCCCGTCCATCATATCTCAGGTATGTGTACATTCTCTGCCCGCCATATTAAGTCAGTTCAACTTAGTGAATTTTATGAATATCAGTGTTCATGTTGTAACAGTGAAATTATCATTTACCCAGTGAAAGCCTTAATGTAACGTAAGTATCGTCTGTCATTGCCAGACAAAGATTATTTGTGATCGAGTCATTTTTCACATCTCTGACGCTGTCCATCATATCTCAGGCACAGTGTGTGTGTTAGCTGAATACCCAACAGTCACCGGGGGACCGGTAGCTGCATACCAGCTGGCTGCCTTCAGCACAATTAAATTGTGAGAGTCCACTCCCTGGGAACTAGGCCCAACTCCCGCGCAGTGTGTCGGAGTCGGACTCCAACCGACCCTAACAGCGCTCTTCGTTTGTTGTGGTGACACCAGTGTCACACCCTGGAGCACTCCTTACAGTTATATGAGCCAAAGTATTATTTTTGTATATGATTGGGGATAATTAGCAGAAATATAGTTATCCCATGTTGAGTAGTGAACCCATAAATATTGATAGTACTGTACCAGTAAATATGTTATGTGAGTACATCAACTGAGGGAAAGTGCTATGTTGTCCATTCCGAAATAACATGATGTTATAAATACAATAATAAGTTAATTTGGGATATTGTCAAGTGTGTCATAGAACCATCTGTATTGGCAATGAAATAATATAAGGATTGTTTAATGTTGCAACAAAGAATTGAAGATTTATATTGCTACTTGAAAAAGGAAGACCTAAGGGTCCAGTCCTGTCTGAGAGTGTAAAATAACCATCTTATTTGTCAAAGAAATAATATAACAGTTGTTTAGTGATGTAATAACTAGTAATTGAAGATCTATTTTATGAATTGTAAAGTAAGACCTAAGTGGTCCAGTCTGGTCTGAGTGTACTTAATTAACATCTCGTTCACTCCTTATCTTAATGAATACTGAATTAGTAAACTACGAGTATCACCGCTTTATTCCTTCTACCCATTGGTTCTCAGAAAATAACTATTGTAACTCACGTGCCTAGAGGCTCATTAGCACACTACCTCACAGTTCATTGAGATATGTTATATTCTAAGAAAAGTCTGGGTGGTGGCAGGCTACCGTGGTAAGTACAATAAGTGTACAGTATAGTCAGAATGACATGGTTTTCCCAGATTAATCCATGGTATAGAGAAAGTAAGAACATGAAATTCAGAAAATACAATAATATATATGAAAGAAATGAAGTAAAGAAAAGAATACAGGGTATTGACTTAGAAAATATAAGCAAAGAAATAGAAAGACTCAGAATATAGAATTATTAATATATATATATACACAAGAAAAGATTAATAGAAAATATAGATATGAAGAAAGAATATAAGTATTAAAGAAAAAAAAGATGAAATAGGATAAAGAGAAAACCTGCCCCCTTACAACGGTGATATACACTTGGAACTGTATATAAGATATCTTCATAATAAATGAAGATACACAGTTGGTAAAGGTAGAGATATTATGTTCTCCCCATTACTGTGGCTTACTGTTACCTCCGTTACAACGATCAAAGAAATCAGTTCATAGGTGTCAGCAAAGCAGTAACTTTTACTTTATCCTCTTCGCCACTGATCGGCTCGTTAGCCGCTTGGGCGATCGGTCACGTCACTGTTGGCAAATACAGGGCATGCACCGGCACCTGAATGTACCTGAACCCGCTCCAGTGTTGGTCAAATCTTGTCTTGAAAGAGCTCACACTCGGTGCCATCACAACACTCTCTGGTATATTGTTCCAAGAGTTTACAACCCTCACTCCGAAAAAGTTTGCCCTCACAGTTTTCTGGACTTGCGGCTTCTTCAATCTTGAGCTGTGACCCCTTGTGAGGCAAGCGTCCGCCAGCTCCAAGTAAGGACACTCGACTGAGTAGTGCCCCAGAGATGCTTATACACCTCAGCTAGGGCCCCCCTTGCCCGTCTGTAGTATAAGCTAGGCAAGTTCAGGCACTCCAATCTCTCAGGGTAGCTGAGGTGCTGAAGTGCAGGCACCAGTCTGGTGGCCCTCTTAACATTTTCAACCAACTGACAGTCCCTAGCATATCTCGGGGACCAGACGGGGTGACAGTACTCCAGATGGGGAAGCACTTCACTCCTGAAGATCGTTATGAGGGACGGACCGTCTAGATATCTGAACGACCTTCTTATAAGACCCAATAATTTATTTGCCTGATTTGCCTGATTTACCTTCTTCTCGCAATGGCCCGAGAACTTCAGCTCATTGTCAACATACACACCTAAGTCCTTCTCACATTGTCTCAACTAGTGCAGTTTCTTCATCCTGTTGGGACATATGATACGCCTCCTTACCGTTGGTACGCCCCAGGTGCATCCTCTTACACTTCGTGACATTGAATCTCAGCAGCCATTTCTTCGACCATTCCTGGAGCCCACAGAGATCCTTCTGCAGCTCTTCACAGTCCGCTTGGTTCTTAATTTCCCGAAATAACTTGGCGTCATCGGCAAACATTTGTATGGAGGAGTGTACAATGACAGGCATGTCATTTATGAAACAAACAAACAACAGCGGGCCCAATACATTGCCCCGTGGTACCCCACTTGTGACAGGTACGGATGACGATTTCGTGCCATTAATCACCACACACTGCTTGCGGTCATGTAGAAAGTCTTCTATCCACGCTAGGACATTTCCCCGAATTCCGTACCCTTCCAGTTTGATTTTCAGCCTTTCATGGGGTACATTGTCGAAAGCCTTGGCAAAATCCAGGTCAATATTGTCGATATTACCACGGATAAGAAAATTACGGTTTATGTATATACAGTACATTCTACAGAACAAGTCATGGGTGTTTTTACAAATAACAAAAGTACACAGTGACATGTTATATTTTTCCAAAGTGTATTATAATATCCCATAGTGAGACGTTATACGTTGTGATTTTTATTTTGTCATCCAAAGAGATGTACAAGTTTCTTTTTCTCAATAACCATTAATGAGTTACTGAGTTGCTGAATTATGGCAACAATCCTGTGAGCTGAAGTGAACATTAGTTTCTGCAAATAATTCGTTCACTGCCCAGGGTGTGACAGGATGTGAATACAGTTGTTGTGACTACTCATCAATCAACATCCTGTAAACAAAATTCTTTCATATGGTGTGAGTAACCACCAGTTACCAGCACCCCACCCTAGTGATGACACATCTCCGACCACGAGAGATGGTCTCAGCATTCTGAGGTATGGTGTGGTGGATGCACTAAGGTACCCAGTGTACCCCAGAGTCCTTGAGTTCATTGACAGGGAGCAGCAGTTTGCTGTACTCAGGATTTTTGTGGACATTGACCCAGTCACCAACCTTAGCATCAGCTGTGTCTCCTGTGAGTGACACATGCAAGTCTACGGGATTGCAGCAACAAATTCACATTTTCAAGAAATTCTAGAAAGGAATATATATATATATATATATATATATATATATATATATATATATATATATATATATATATATATATATATATATATATATATATATATATATATATATATATATATACATATACATACATACATATACATACATACAGTATATATATATATATATATATATATATATATATATATATATATATATATATATATATATATATATATATATATATATATATATATATATATATATATATATATATATATATATATATATATATATATATATATACCCACAGTTAGATTTTCTACAGCATACCATCACACGTTGTTAGTCATCGTGTCGGTTATAGTTATATTATAGGTGTCTTGTTTTAATATATACCTGTATTGATGTAATGTAATTTCCAGGATTTATTTTTCACCTGTTCAGCTATTGATACTTCAATTATTTTAATTATAATTTATATCAATTTACTGTAAATGGATGGCCAAATAAATTATTAAAAGTTGCATCCCATAGTGAAGGGGTTAATGACAATTTTTTACTTACACCATGATTATAATCAAAGTTTACACAAAAAGTTTCACTTTGTTTATTATTGGCTTCTAATTATAAGCCAATAATGAACATAAGACGTAAAATACTGAACAGTTAGTGGAGCACGCAGAAGTTACTGAGAAACTGTGCCACTTGTGATGCAGTGCAAGGCTCAGCCAAGACATGCCATTTTAAAATTTGTAATGATGCACTGACAGTAAGTCTACTGCACTGTATGTAAATACATTTTTAGATGTTTTGTTTTCACTGAATTTGATTTTTGATAGGTTTTATCTTTAGAAAAATGCTAAACTTATTCATGTAACAGTTTATTCTTTTCGCTGACATCAGATCAAACTCTCAGCTAATAAACACATCAGCATTACCACAGTCGAAAAATCCTGAGTCGGTGTCTTGCCTCTGCTTCACATTAATGACCCTGTGAGCCATGATAATTAAATCACTACAAGTATATATATTTTTTTAGCTTAGTTAACCACTCTTAATACAGTACAGTGCAATACTGTTCTGTTGATTGTTTTTAATTTAATTGTCCAGTACCGGAAGCCCCGCGATGCCTTTTTTGTACAGAAATCAAAACATTGGACAAAAAATGTGTTTTTATAATTTCAAATTATTTATACATAGCAGAAACATGGGTAAATTTTTTTTTGTAACTTCAGATTTTCGTAAACCGGATCTTTAATTATCAGGGAATACCAGTACTGTACCAGAACAATATTCCCCCCTAATGGGGATTCTTATAGTACAGTACTTGTACCCATTAACAGATCAATAACAGGTCTTTATATTAGAAGAAAGGAGGACTTCATTATCTCAGGATTAATGAACACTGTGGAGGTTTTCTACATCAATTCCTTGCTATATCTATGCTTATACAGTATGTCAGTAGCCATGATTGACTCAAAGAAATGCAAAAAGATTCCAATTTTTAGGAAACTACAAAAAATTTACAATTTGATCAAAAGTTCAGCTACAACAAACAAAGACAGAGGAGGAGGAGGAGGAGGAGTGGACATGGTGAAACAAAAGCAAGATCTTCCAACTACAGTATGTGAATGAGATTATGGTACAGTATAATGATTTTATCAGAAAATCAGTTGTATCATTTCACTGACAATAAAACCCATCACTACAATGTTTCCCTGTGAGACAATATAAATATATGCTAGATTCAAATTTGAATTTAAATACTGTACTGGTGATTATAAAACTTATTTTTTCTTCTATAAATTCACTCAATTAAATGTTCATTTACACATTTTTGTCCACCTACAGTTTTGCAATGTACTTTGGAGTAGTGTGTGTCTCTGTCATGCTTTGAGTAGTAAGCTTTATTGCATGAATTGCACGAAAACCGTCTGAAGCCATTATGTCGATCCATGTGCGTTTTTAAATGTTGTCGTGTGTAGAACTTGGCACCACATAGAGAGCAAGAATGGGGTTTATTTCCTGAGTGTCGCATCATATGTCGTGTGAGGATTGCACGACGGTGGAAGGCTGCACCACATTCACTGCACACATGATTCTTCTCCTGTAAGATGATATGTATAGCTAACACAGTAAAAAACAAGTATATGTATATATACATGTAGAATATAAAGCCTCTCCAGCGCCCAATATCACACAAATAAAAGTCCAACCATCAGGTTCATGGGACCCAATTCATATATATATATATGTTCCCCCAAAAAAGAAGTCCATATTGGATGGAATATCTGTACAGTACAATCTAAACTGCAACCTCTCAAAGGTACATTACCGAGTACAGTATCTATAAGGAACATTTTTGGGAGGGACGATATCAGTGTTAAAGCTACATTAGTTTTTGTCGGTTGAATGCAGCTCCACAAGGGTAAACCTGTAGCCTTTGCCTCCCCTCACCACATTTAGTGTCTTGTGCTTTGTGTCAAATTAGCAAATGCCCTCAGTTCTTGTGACAATTACACCAAAGTTTATAAACTTTTGTTATAATATCTTAGCACTAGGCACACAAGGAAATTATAATGCAGTTGTAGCAGCAATTGTGATTAAACATTACATAAATATCAATAGTGCTGTGCTGGATTTACTATGACTGTGCTGTAATTACTGTACATGTTATAAGTACTACAGTTTAATCATTCTGCTATATTGCTAAATGTACTGTACTGTATTGTTTTATGTAGCTGCCCTAATTGTGATTCAGCTGAGTGAATGCACATTCACTTTGTTAAAACATATTCATAAATCTTTCAGACATAAAAGTCAAAAGTCTATGAAGATTCTAACTAGCCTACCCTTATCTTGCACAACACATGGAGAGGCAGCTCATGTGTTATGCTTCAATTTTACCTACTACAGCAACTGCTTGATCCACCTTCAATGTTTATGTATTTCATACTTTTTTGTTTGCTATCCATATGTTTATCGAAGAATAAATAATGTTCGAAATTTCTGTTTAAAGGTTAATGCATGCCTACATCAGCAGAGAAATAATTTAAATTCTTCCTTACACAGTTGGCTAATAACTACATGGAGCATTAATTAATACAATGAAAACCCAAAAGACTGCACAGTTATTCTTTAAACAGGCAAGAAATGAGTTTAAATATTACTGTACTTAAAATCTGTAAAATACATAATACTGTTTGATGTAAAAGGCCACATGGCCTGTAGATATATGTCCAAAGGGTGTTAGAAATTTTAAATCGCGAAACCAAATTATCGCCAAGTGAACAATCGCTAAATGACGATTACCTGTATGGTAGGTCTAATAGCACCTTAAGCAAGGAATAATGGTATCATTTGAGAGACCTCTTATTAAGGAACTACCAGGAAAGATTAGTTGAACCTTACTTCAAGACACTGTACTCTAATTTAAAACAGGAAAATATTGTTCTATTTTGTGAATTTGTCAATATCACTTCCACTAACTTCTAACATAAACTATTTTACCCCCTTTTCTACAGTACTGCTTATACAAATGTTTGTATGATGAATCTATGGGTTATCTCTAAATGGAGATGTGAAGATGCAATGACATAATGACTGCAGCTAAAATGGCCTCAAAATTGTAGTGATACTCTGCTGTACTTGGAAGAATTTTTTTATCCTCTGATACAGGGGATAAATTTATTATACTACAGGTTGAACCTCCCTAATCCGGCACCCTTTGGACCTGACCGGTGCCGGACTATAGAATTTTCCGAACCACAGGTAGTCTTTGTAAAATGCATCGTATTATTGGTGCGCCAATCTGGCACATCATATTTAAAATTTTGCACCTAATGTTTCTTTGGGCATGCTACTCTGTCCCAAGGGCAAAGCTGTACTGTACATGTACTCAAAATAATGTACTAAATGATAAGTAAAATTTTTGTCTAGTGCAAACTATAGCATGTTTATATTCAAATTAATCAGTATCTTATAAGAATTCCAGTACAGTCAACCCTCACTTTACGCGGTCCCACATTCCACGTTTACGCGATACCCTGCCGGAACCCAGGATGCTCACATACCGCGGTGCGTGTACCCCTTTACGCGGAGAGTGTCCGGCTCGAAGCTATTTTTAGATTCGCCCCACCCGCCTCCTCCCTCCTCCGCTTGGGCAAGCCGCGCGGTAAGGTTGCGCAGTGCATGTCTCTGTTGCGTTATCAGTGACGTCATATGACGTATCGGACTGTGATTGGCCATGCATCCCTACCTCCCTCCGCTGCCAGCTGTAATTGGTTTAAAGTAATATGACGTGTCCACCCGGGGGAGGGAGGGAGGGAGGGAGGAAAGACGACGCTTGACGTAGCCACGGCAGTTTCATCCCTCGAGGCCACACCGTGTAATCGTGCATCCATTGTTCTGTAAAATGGCTTCTGCCGGACCACCGCCCCCAGAGAGAAACCTTTCCTTACCTGGACCCAGCCGCCCTAAGCCAAAGAAGACACGACGTTCCTTAAGCTACGAGGTGAAGTACAAGATCATCCAAGAGTTAAAGAAAGGAACAAGACAGGTTGATTTGGCGCGCCAGCATGGTGTGAACGAATCTACGATCCGGACGATAAAGAAGGATGTAGCCAAGATAAAAGAGCACATGAAGATCACAAAGTCTACAGGTGCTTCTATGATCAAGTATTTCCACAACCAGGTGCTTCTCAAGACAGAAAAATTACTTGTGAGCTACTTGGTGTGTCAGGCGCGACGGAACATGGTGGTCGACACGCGCTCTGTTAAGGAGTACGCACGTGAACTGTATGCTGCGGTGTCACGAAAGATGGGAATTACAGAGCCCAAACCCTTTAATGCTTCCTCTGGATGGTTACAGAGGTTTAAGATGCGGAACAAGATCACCAATATCAACATTGGTGGTGAAGAAGCCAGTGCTGACCGTGCTGCGGCAAAGGAATTTCCTCCGTTTTTACGTGAGATTATGGAGGAAGGACAGTACACCGACGACCAGGTGTTTAACATGGACGAATCTGGTCTTTTTTGGAAAAAGCTACCTTCCAAGACCTTCGTTGTGAAGAATGCCAGCAAGATTCGGGGCCGGAAGTTGCAGAAGGAGCGCATCACCGTCCTGTTTACCACCAATGCCTCCGGTACCTGTAAGCTCAAGTTATCGGTGATCCACACAGCCCGCAAGCTGCACGCCTACAAGAGCATCGACATGACCAAGCTAAATGTCCACTGGCTGACCGCACGTAAGGCGTGGATGTTCTCTACACTATCCCTCTCCTGGTTTGATGACTGTTTCATTCCCGATGTAAAGAAATTCTGTGAGCAACAGAATGTGCCATTCAAGATTTTGTTGCTGCTGGACAACACACCAGGACACTCACCCCTACTGTTAGATCGTCACCCCAATGTAAAAGTGGTCTTCCTTCCTCCCAACACTACGTCTATATTACAGCCCATGGACCAAGAGTTAATCTGTAATGTAAAAGCTGCATTCTCAACAAAAAAATTCAAGCTCCTGAACGACTACACCAACACCAGGGAAGAGTTGCGTAACCTAAGTGACACCACCACCGATAGCAAGAGCGAAGACGACGAGGATCAACAGTTGGCAGAGCAAAAAATACTTTTCAAACAATTCTGGAGAACATTCAACATCAAGAAAGCTGTTGACTTCTTGGTGGAGGCATGGGATCAGCTGTCTGTAGCAACTGTTCGTCACGCATGGAGACATGTGTTGCAAGGCATTCCGGGCGTTAGGCAGAGTCAATCTGTGACTGGTGAGGTTCAGACTGTTGCAGTAGCAGTGGACCTTGCCAGAGAAGCTGCGCAGAGTGTTACAGCTGCAGGCTTCTCCGAGACCACCAACGACGACATCCTGGAGGTGATAAGGGATCCTGATGTGACTACCGACGAGATGGTAGATGATGATGATGTCAGTTAAGAGGCAGGTGGTGCGTCATCCCAAGAAGAACACAGCTTATCCCATAGTAATGTTAGGGGTGCCATCGAGTGTGTTGAGAAAATCAAGCTCCTCCTTTCCGACGACCCTGACGCAAACAGGTATGAAATCTTCACTACCCAGCTGTTGCAGACTATGGAGCCCTACATCAAGGTTTATCACGACAACATAAACACCAGCCGTCAGCAAAACATAACAGAGTTCTTCGCCCGCAACCCACCACAGCCAGCCCAAGCCAGTGATAGTGACAGAGGTAGAGACAGTGAAGATGACTGAGGGATTTGTCAGGGAGGCCCTGACAAGTGTGGATGACAGTGATGGTGACTCACCTGAGGGCCAGTAGCCTGCCCTCTGCCTCGGAACCAGCCTCCATCCCCGTATGCCGACCCATCTCTTCTACTAACGTAAGTGTTCAACCTAACTTTTATTTTTCCTAACCTAACCTCTTCTATATTAATTGTTTGTGTATACCATCATAAAGTTAAGATAAAATTTTTACTCCAATATAGTTGTGTGTCGTCAAAAAGTGGAGTTTGGGGGTCGGCCCGGTCTCTATTTCAATTAATCCCATATGATATGTTGTTCACTTTACGCGTTTCTCACTTTCCGCGGTACCTTGTGGGTTATATTAACCTCGTAAAGTGAGGGTTGACTGTAATGTAAATTATATTCACCCCCGTCACTTCTGTGACATTTTATAAGCAAAAAAACATAAATAAACAAATAAATACTTAACTAGACCTTCGGTGCCAACTGTCAAACATTTGTCCGTCACTTCCCTCCCTCCCCGCCCCCCCATCTTCCCAGCCAGGGTTTGGTGTTTTAGGCTGAAAATTTTTATCTTATATAATGTTATAGACTGGAATCCATGCAAGACAGCGAATAATTAGAAAATATATGTCATATATTTTACACAAAAGATAACAAATTTTGGTCTTTATATGCCTAATGCGAGCTATAGCATGTTTATATTCAAATTAATCACTGTCTTATAAGAATTCCAGCAATGTTATTTATATTCTCCCATGTCAGTTCAGTGACATTTTATATGAGAAAAACTTAAAGTCACTCTTAAGGACAGGTAAAATAAATAAGCACTAGACCTTGGCATCAACTGTCAAACATATCACCTCACCTCCCTCCCTCAAGCCCCATCTTCCCAGCCAGTAAACAGACCATTTCGCTGTGTTGATTTATGAGTGTTTGTTTTAACATAATACAACAAAAAACAATGTTTTGTTTATTCTAGGAGATGGGCTGAGGTGCATCTGGGTAGACTCTCAGTCTTTTTAGTATTTTGTGTTTCTCTCAAGTACCAAACTAAATTATTCCATTTAAATAACACTTCAATTCAGTGTGAATTCGGTTTAAAGTAACCTCTCTTGGAACATATCTCATGTTATATCCACATTCTACTGTACAGTGTAATTGTGATAAACGAAAATAGATAAACAATAATTTTCATTCTGCACTTAAAATGACAAAATAGTTACGGTACCTGTACATAAATTGGTGATGTTCACCTGTAAAGAAGAAAAAAATATCTGTACAGTAAATGAAATAATAAAATAAAATAAGTAAGCTTAGGAGGAATATTAAGGGTAAATAACAAGTGAAATATTACAGAAACACTTGAAATACCGAGGAACGCACCAACCTCCACGAGGAGCAGAGGTAAACAAAGGGTATGCCGAACCATGGATACTAGCGCTGGTGGGTACAAGCGGCTGTCCGGCAAACTAAAATTTTGCCGGACGACGGGAGGTGCCGGACAATGGAGGACCGGATTAGGGAGGTTCAACCTGTATACAATAATTACCTTTTTTTCTCAGGTCCGAAGCTACTCTATCTCTTTATCCTCACAATCCTTAACTAAGCTCATGCCAGGTAAACAATATAGTAACCAAAATAATAGAAATTATGTGGAGTACTGTAAATAAAAAGTAAAAGCAAACACAGATTACTACAAAAGAAACAATCTAGAATTCAAAACCACTGTACATTATATGGACTAACACACACACACACACACACATAATCTTTAAAAACATGCACAGTGCAATTAAGTAGTACATCAAAGACAGACAAGTTTTAGCAACAAGGCTGCCACTAAAATGTAGGAAAACTCTCCAGTCAGCTACAACGTTGTCCATTATGGCACTCAGGTAACAGCTACTGTGATACACTGATTACAACTCTGTAATAAATTACTTGGCATTTAACATGTTCATAATTCACAGACAAACAGACGGAAAGCATGAATTCATAAGACCCACCACAAGGATAGTAGGCGACAATACAGCAGCAGAATTCATATACAGTACAGTGGTCCCTCGGTTAACGAACACAATTCGTTCCAGAGGGTCGTTTGTTAACCAAAAAATTTGTTAACCGAATCCATTGTTTCAATGGGATATTGGATAATTGGTTCCAGCTCACAGAAAAATATATACAAAGTAAAAAAAAAAAAAATGCAGTAAAGTACACTTACTTTGGGGTGTGTATGTAGAAGGTTCCTGGTTGATGATGATGATGATGGGAATTAGAAGTGGGGGTGGAGGAGAAGGGAGAAGAGAAGACAATGGGATGGGGATGAAGGAGAAATCACCTTTCAGGGGACCCATGCTTGATGCAGTAATTTCACCAATAAAATTTTAAGTTCACTCGGTGTAATTCAAGATTATTTTATTTAAATCAACACTGCACTGCGCTATATATTATCACTGTGTTAACTAAATTTCAGAATGATCAATAATTTTAATATAAAAAATGCAAAAATATTAAAGAGCACAACTTTCTTGATATTTACTTCACTGGAAACGAATGTAAACATAGAACAGATTACTGAATTGGCAGACTAGCCCATCAGCTGATGCTCACAACAAAACGTGTTTGTCGTAAGGATTTCGTTAATCAAAATTTTGTTAGTTAACCGAATTGAAGATGCTTATGGGAGGTAATTCGTTAACCGAAATTTTGTTAATCGAACCGTTCATTAACCGAGGGACCACTGTACTGTAGTTTATTCAGAAGATGATGCACAGCTGCCTACCTCATGAGACTGCATGTGAACTCTTAGATTGTACTCATTTTTGAGGACTCCCCCACAGATGACACAGCTGTGCTGATGGGAGCACTTAGTCTTAAGGTGCTTATTTCGCTGATGCCTTTTCTCAAAAACCATATGGCAGTTTGGGCACGTACGGTCCTGTAAGAAAACAAGAGATATGTGTGAATGCTGAACTGATCCTGAAATTCTGTTTTATGATCTGGGATGAGTGAATGTTCCTGTATAGTGACCAGCTTGGTCAGTCTGTTCAACACAGCATACTGGTTACAAAGGCAAGTCTATAAAATCATAGTTATATGGACCCAATAATTTGCCAGTTTCAAAATAATATGGATCTTGTCATTGAAGGAAGAAAGATCACTGGACCTTGATGGTTTTTACCTTCTGGGAAAATTTATTCTCTGCTTTGCCCAGCCATAAACAACATTTGTCTCGTTTACTTCCAAGTCTTCAGTCAGTCTCACCACTTACAATCCTGAACCCTGGGAAGAGAGTATTCTTTTCCATAGAGAATGTGGCACAGTGGGTGTACTTATTTAGCTATTGTGACTTGCAAAAAACTTCCCACCTCCAAAAGAAAACTGTTGTGCCAAATTCCACTCATTTGAAAGTGATGGTGTGATGAAGAGGGAAGTGTGATCAGTACCCTTAAAAATGGTTAATAAATCAATCCTTGCTGACACAACAGGGAGGGTTAGGGGGTCTAAACATGGAAATTACTAGAGCACCCATACTATAACAGCAGCCTAGCTAATGGATGTATGCTAGAAAATAGTATTTGACAGGAAGAGTAATAAAAAATACCTGTACTATATTGTACTTTTATATTCTTACCTCTAAGGTGGGATGCAATGAAGCTCTGTGCTTCTGGAGCTTCTCTTGAGTACTGTATACCAAGTTGCACTCAGGACAGCGGAACATGCATGGGCCTTTGGTGAGATGTTCAAGGAACCTCCCCAAACTATCACAGTCATTCTCACATGTGGGACACCTATGAATGGGTTTGGGATATACTATAATAACAATAACACAGCCAAGGTACAGTGAACCGAAAAGGTACATAAATATCTCCAAAATTTAGACAGTGGAGGTTCAAGTCTACCTGGATATGGGAGGTTTCCAAATTAGGTGAACTCTGAGTACAGGTATTTCATAATGTATTTTGAATATTCCAAATTAAATCAGTACTGTATTTCGGTCAGCAAAACTGCAGTTCATTATCAAAGCATTTTATAATGACTTGGAAATATAAATCCCATTAGATTTACTAAATTTTATGAATATTTTTGTTTAAATTAAAGAATACAGTATCAATTAAATATTAAGAATTATAGCACATAGTACACTAATGTACACAGTAGTCATTCACCATTCAGCACTTAAAGTCTCGGACAGTGAACTCATATCACTGAGGTTACCTTGGTGAAGAGGCTACTCTTATCAGTGCCACATTATGTTGAAAATTGAGGGAAAATATTACCTTTATTAGTGAAACACCTAACGGTTACCATAGGTCACCAATCATGGGAAAAAGAGTGGAAAGTAAAGCAATAAAGTAAAGATATCCATTAGTGGTGACCGTGAGCTACCCACCATAGAAACACCAGGTAATACAGTGAAGGAACACCCAGATCAACTCACAGTAGTATACAGTATAAAAGAAACAGGAGAATAGCGAATGAGAGAAAATTAGTGACCTGGTAACTAGTGCATCACAGGTCACCGCAGTGCTACCAGATCATCAAGTTGCGAATTTTTAGTGTACAAGGGTATTACAGTAATGTTTACAGTGAGTTGTATTGTGTTAAATTAGTAGTAAGTGATCAGAGCATCAATCATATTTTTCCATGAACAAGCTTTAAGAACTCAAAAAAGTGATCAAAAGCAAGTAAGTAACTGGCACCATTAAACTGACTCCACCCACTGTAGGCACTCACGTGAGGACAAGGGAAGCACCCCTCCAGAGCCCACCTACTACTACTACCACTGTTGAAACAGGTAAGTCACTACATTTAGGGCTAAAAGTGTGTTTACCTAAAACCTGTGCGAAAATCATAATTCAGGAAAGACAGTTTCCATCTCCCAAGAAAGATTGTTATTAGCAAGGCTTAGAAAACCGTAATACCCCCAAGGCGATGCCAAGTGTTGGTCGATGCTGCCACATTAAGAAAGTAATCACACAAAATAGTTAAAGACCCAAACAAAATAAATAAATAGCTAATAAAAGACTCGAAGCACCTGTGGTTACTGCAATGGCCCCTCAGGCAGAAGCTAAGGTCCTTACATACCATAATTGCAAGATAAATAACCACAAGGGATGCTTAGCAATAACCGAGAAGCTATTTAACCCGATAACTGCAATATACATTCTTGAATGATAAGCAGAGAAGTATGACATATATTCTGGAATTCGCCAGTTTCTGGAGTCTGAGACGTACGTTTTCTCTCTCCTCCATTTCAAAAGCCTCACGAAATCTCATGTTGACATATATATATTTAAAATTACGAATGAATGTGTATGTGTTACTGCAAGATATACAGTATATACCTACTTAAAGCTGAAAACTTCAGGATCCATTGAGAGTGATGTTGAAAGCTTTAACTATACAGTATTTACTTTTAGTAAAATTATTAAATAAGTCGAGTGTTTAGGTGAGCAATAGAGATTAGAATCCTTTTTCCACGCTATGTATGAATGGCGGCCAAACTAAGGTAAGTGATGGACTCCTAGTTGGTTTCCACATTCCTCTACATACTATACTATCTTTTAATCTACAAGAGTTAAAATGATGTTAGGGGGAAAATCAATATTCGTGTTTTTTTTTTTTTTGTATGCACTGGGGAGTTGAATGGTGAATCACTCTACCACAATTATCGGGTCAAAGCTTACAAATGTATCTCAGGTTCTGACAATGTTTCTTTGTACAGAATGTATGGTACAAGTAGTAAAGACTGTAGGAGTGTATGAAAGTAAGATAGACACGCTTGATAAAGAACAAGATAAACTTAAGCAACATATAACACAACTCCAGAAATCAACACAGGAAGGCTGAAACAATTTAATAGAAACCATGGCCAAACCATCAACCACAGTGGTTCAGACTGATAATGTGACAGTTAGGGCAAACCTAACACAAAATCTTCGAGATGAGACATGTGAACAAGCAGAGATTAGCAAACGTAGGGACAACCCCATTATAAAGAACTTGGGGAGGAAGAAGGGGGAGACAGGTGAACAATCAGTCAAACAGATGTTGAGAAATGTTGTTAACTTTAAAGATGAGTTGCACATCACAAATGTGGACAGACTTAATAAATGCACAGTGCAGCTAGTGAGGATCACCATCCCTAAACATGAGCACAAAATGGACATCTGAAAGAAGGCACAGAACCTCAAGTGAGTAACAGAGAACAGTAGTGTGTACAACTGTACATAACCCCCGACCTAACAATTTGCCTCTCCCCCCACCCCAAAATGGCAAAGAGTTCAGGGGCAAACTGAGAGAGCTACGTAGCAGTCCACAATATGGAAATGCTCAATTTAAAGACCAAAAGAGGCAAAGTAGTCAGGGTACAGGAAGATGGAGAAGTCGTAGTTGTGTTCCAGCCCTCCCACTAATAGGGGCAAGTGGTGAACAAGCTGTGAATAAGGTAAAAAATATAAAGAGAATAAACATTTCTTAAATCCACAGAAGTTAGCTCACGATCATGTGAGGGAGAGTGTGCTTCTGTCTCCTGTGTCCTTAGTGAAACAATTGCCAAATGGCAATGCAGTATTTTTTTTTTTTTTAGTAGTAGTACAGTAAGTCCTCGCTTAACGTTGTGGTACGTCACTAAACTTTAGAGACCAAAAATTCGCTTAACGTCCCGGTGATCTGATACTACGTCGTTTTGCGTCGTCACGGACTGCTTTCTACAGCGCATCACCCGCCCTTGTCTGGCCGTGCTACGCTCTCTCGGCTCGGCTAACTATCCTTACTCGCGGAATGTCAAAGCATCCCCGAGCGACGCCAAGCCAGTCTCTGTTACGACTTCGCCAGGTTTTAAAGCAGCAAAAGACCGCTTGACACTGCTGCTTGGCGCCAACGCTGCCGGTGACTTCAAGCTGAAGCCTATGCTGATTTCTCGTGCTGCTAACCCACGGGCCCTGAAAGGTTACTCTAAGGATCACCTTCCTGTGATCTACAAGGCAAACAAAAAGGCATGGATAACCGGTGCCATATTTAGCCAGAGGTTAAACGTGTACACCATCCCTGCACTGAAGGAATACTGTGCCAAGGAGAACCTTGACTTCAAAATTCTTCTGATCCTTGACAATGCTCCAGCTCATCCTCCCAATCTTGACGACTTGCATGACAGAGTAAAAGTTGTATTCCTGCCTCCCAACACGACAGCACTGATGCAGCCTATGGACCAAGGCATCATCGCCGCATTCAAGGCGTATTATTTATGCCATACCATGGCCCAGCTGCTCAAGGCTACAGACAGAGAAAATAAACCAACGATCCGAGAACATCGGTGTGGCTTCAACATTCTTCATGCAATTGACAACATTGGCAAGGCATGGGAAGAGGTTTCAGAAAGTTGACTGAATGGTGTGTGGCGTAAACTGTGACCCAAGTAATTCAACAGTTTTACGGGATTCACGGACTTAGTCCCATCTGTGAATAGGGATATTCCCAGCTTGGCTAGACAGGCAGGCTTTGATGAGCTGGAATCAGAGGATATTGAGGACTTCTTGGCATCCCATGCAGAAGAGCTCACCAACGAAGATCTGTAACAACTAACAGAACACAGTCCCTGAAGACGACGACGACGACGAATGCTAACTTCCAAGAGGATGGAAGAATCGTTCAACGTGTTCCAGCAAGCAATGCATATCCTTCTAGATGACGACCCAAACAGAGAATGTAGCTCAAAGGTTCAACGCAACATTGAGGACAGTCTTGGTTGTTACACTGAGATGTATAAGGAAAAGAAGATGAGTAGCACCAAGCAGTCAACACTGGATTAATGTTTTCGTCGCAAGACGGCAGAAGCAGCAGAAGCTTGTTCACAACAGCTGGCAGCCGAGGAGGAGCAAACAACAATGGAGGAGGAGCAAACATCAACGGAGGAGGAGCAAGCAGCGGCGGAGGAACCCCAGACAGAGCAGGAGGAGGAGGCAGCCGCAGAGTCTCAGTTACTCACCACCCTCCTCCTCTCCTGCCCTCCTCCACTCCCGCCATACTCCTCCCCTCCCGCCATCCTCCTCCTTCACTCTCTCTACCACCTCCGCCCATCGGTGAGTACCAATACAAACTTAGTACTGTAGTTCTATACAGTCGGCCCTTAACATACGCGGGTTTAGCATACACGGATTTGCAAATACGCGGATTGCCCCGCCGGAGGAATATTCTGTACATTGAAGTAATTGAAGTACATTCAAATCGCGCGCCATTCAACACGCGCGCGGCACCGAACACAGGACACCGCCCGCTCCCGCAACCTCACACACACACACACACGCATAGCTCTCCCTCACTCAGTCAGTCTCGCTGTAACCACGCTTGTGTTGACATCAACATTGTAGTTGCAAAAATATTCCATTTCCGTGAATGTATTACATCAAGCACAGTATGAATAGAATATCACTAATATAACAGTATTTTAACAGAAAACTATTAAAAAACGAGTAACATATCTTGAACATAGGAAGGTTAGGTAAAGTCTTTTGTTTTCATGTAGTTTATCCAAATTTACATTGAAATACATTACGTTTCAGCAAAACTACTACTTATTTCTGAGAATATGGAAATGCAATATTTCTGCTGAAATGACGTATGTATTACAGTGGAAAGTGACGAAAGCAATGACTTTCGCTTTCTTTCGTCCAAAAGATGTTACCGAAATCACTTTTCGAATGGTTTTCAGTTAAAAAACTGTTGTATTACAATAATATTCTATCCTAATTCACTTGTGATGCAACAGTTTTTTAACTGAAAACCATTC